ACAAAGGGTCTGGAACTGATTTACTCATTTAAAAAAGAGGGGATAAGTGGTTTCCCTTAAAGGAATAGTTCTTGGCTGTTCAGCCTCACTCCATGGCTTTCTGCCCAAAGTCTCCTCAATTTTCCCAGAGGATCCCTGAGGTGGGAGCAAGGACAGGAAGCATTACTGGATTTTGTTCAACGACCCTATGAGAAATAGCCTACCCACACGTGAAACTCAAACAATTGCTGTGGGGGGGGGGCAGTGTTGGGAAGTCAGTATAGACTGCAGCCTCTACTTCCACACTGGGAAAGACACAATAGTAAATTCTACACCCTGGGAAACCATGACACTCCCACACCAGGTACAGACAGCTGTGTTGTTTTACATGCATTCCAACCAGACAATAGCTCCCTCTGGAAAAAGCAAAAGAGATGAAGATACTGCTAAATACTAAGAGGGAAAGAAAAAGAGGTTTTATTTTTGTTGCTATTGCTTCCCCTCCCCACTTCTGTTTTTCTCCTAACGAGGTAGAATAAACAGTATTACTGTTTTATGTTGAGTGGATGAAGCCAAGTTCAAACATAAAGGGTTAAAAAAATACTCATCCTCTCTTTTTAAAATTTGGTCTGAATTTTGAAGCAGTCACAGGCCAGCTCACCACTCACTGGCTGTGACCAGGCAAATTCTTTCACCTCTACACCTCAGTCTCATCATCTGTAAAATGGAGATAAGAGCATCCTCTATTGTGGTAGAAAGCAAGCCCTGGTGACACAGTAGTTAAAGTGCTAGGCTGCTAGCCAAAAGGTCAGCAGTTTAAACCCACCAGCTGCTCCACAGGAGAAAGATGTGGCATTCTTTCCATAAAGATTTGCAGCCTTGGAAACCCTATGGGACAGTTCTACTCTATCCTAGAGGGTCTCTATGAGTTGGAATCAACTCGAAGGTTGATTTGTTGGGGGTACAGTTTATTGGGGTAGAGGTTGTTTTGAAGGTTAAATGTAAGGTACTTAGCATAGCTCTTAGTACTTTCCCATTTGTTGGGTTTCTCTGGGCCCATGTTTGTTATGTCTCTGAGAAAAACACACCCAGAGATATGTTTGCCTAAATGATTTCAGAATCTTAAAGGGACTCAATAGTTTGGGAGTCTTTTGCACGAATGAATGGCTGTTTTCACAGATGAGAAGCTTAAACCCAGCAAAGGGCAGCTGAACAGAACATTTATAGGTAAAGGATGTTTTTTCCCAATTGTTTTTGTTTTAATCTCTCCTTGAGGAATCTGCAATAACAATCTTTCCCTTCTAATGTTCCTCTAAAACCAACTGATATTTTCATGTTAGTAATTCACTATTTTACAATCCTATCCCGAGACATCCAATGCCTGTGACTCCCACAAGTTTCCTAAAACTAAACTAACAGATAGAGTCAGGATTATCATTCTAAGCATCTAGTTCTCTTTCCTTAAGATCTTGCTGTCTTAAGTGATGCGTCCATATTGAGCCTCATTAAGCCTGGGGAGGCATAAGGAGGCCTCCACTCTCGTAATAAAGCCCAGAATTGCTCATCAGTTACAGAGTCACCTGTCGGGGGCTGGTTCTGGACTGACCAGTACCATTATGGACACTGAATGAGGAGGACATTCTTTTTCTCCTCACATACTTCTTGCATTATGGCAGAAAACACTATGTACTGGCTTCCAAAATTAAAATGTCCTCTTGATCTGACTCACGGCAAATGCCCCTCCTATGTGCAGAGCTCCCTGACCTCACAGGCTCATCCTCTGGCTTGCTTAGAACATTTTTATCTGCATTTCCATCAAGCTTTGCAGGTAATGTTAATGCTCATTGAAGTTTGACAACTATTGCTTTCAAGTTTTATTTTGTTTTGCTTCATCTTTTACAACTTTTTTTTAATAGATACAATTCACATCCATAAAATTCACCCATTTAAAATATACAATTTTTAGTATAGTCACAGATGTGTATAACCATCACTACAATCAATTTTGGAAAGTTTTCATCGCCCCAAAAAGACATCCTGTAACCTGTAGCTTCTACCTCCCATCTCCCCAGTCACCTCCATTCCCAGATAACCGCTAATCTGCTTTCTGCCTATTCTGACATTTCATATAAATGGTACCATAAAATTTGTAGATCTTTGTGACTGGATTCTTTCAATTAGCATAATGTTTTCAAGGTGCATCCATGTTGTAGGCTCTACCAGTTCTTTGTTCCTTTTCATGGCTGAATAATTTCCATTGTATGTACCACATTTTGGGAGTTCCGGTGGCATAGTGCCTAAGGCATTTGACTGCTAACCAGAAGGCTAACGGTTCAAACTCACAAGC